TGGAGTTGGTCTCACTGTGGGTCCTGTGGATGACAGTCAGCTCTTGACCGTGAAATTCCTCAAATGTGCTCAAATGCCTTTTGCAGGTAGCGAATGTGCAAGAATGTGTTCTCACTGTTAAGGTCATTACTTCCCAGATGAAAAGCAGGCAGTGGCACGTGCTTGGGAGCATGAAAATGGGTTTGGAGTAGGCCTTGAAAGTCACAGGATCCATCCTCCAATCTGAGCTGTATGCCAGAAACTGTGAAAGCGGTACTGGCACGGTTTGTTCAGCACTTCTAATGTGGGAAGATCCACAGCTTCCACAGGGAGCCCATTCTGCTGTTTAGCCAGTCGTTACTGTAAGCACTTACTACAGAAAGGACAGTCCAGTTTAATATTCATAAATATTTATAAATCAAACCAGCTTCTGGTCTAGCTCCAGGCACATGAAAAATAACTACTTGTGCTCCAGTTTGTAACACTATCACATAGTAGATGACAGGTCTTGGCCAACTCATTGTAGTCATTAATTAATGAGGCAAAGGCAGCCCCGTGGTGCTGACACCGCAGGACATCTTGATGTTCTCTCATCCATCTCTGTCTCACCCAGTGCACAATAAATACATCGCTATTGGCCTCGTCTGGTTTGTGCCAATGCAACTGTTAATGCAGCCCAGAATTATGTAGGGGTTTTATCTGCAGTGATAAACTGTTTATTTGTTTTTCATCTATAGTCCAGTGGTATCCTCGTTTCTGCTGCTATCTGGCTGGCGAGCCAGTTATTTCCCAAACCACTTTTTTTTCCACGCTTGCTGAATTTCATCAAGGTTTCAGGCAACTTTTTGCACTTTGTAAAGGTAGTTTTGTAGTTCAATTGTGTTCTCTTGGCTAAAAATTGTACGCAGTATGCAGTACTCATCTGTTACATCAGTTGTTAAATTATGGCTGAATACCAAAGCTCACCTGAAAGGTCTCTTTAACTTGGTGGCAAATGACATATGGTGCAGCTTGGTCAGCCGAGATGCAGACTCTTTCCAGCAGTTCCAAGGTCCAAGCTTCTCAAAATCAGCATGTGCAGCACCAGTATTATGCTGTCCAAAACCATGCACTGTTTTGAAATCTGTGCCTACATATGCAAGAAGCTGCTGCTGGTGCCAAAGGAAGTTAAACTTTAAAACCCGTGTTCTGAACTGCACTGTAGCACTACCAAAAGCCTTGCTGAAGCTCGGAGAACTGCTTTTACTGCTGTGTTACATCCAAAGAAATTTATCTGGACTGACTTCAGTGACTCCTGACAAACTCCATGCTGCTGCTTACCAGCTCTTAAGTGTTTAAAGCTAGTAGCTGGTATTACTCAAGGTGTAGTCCCCAAAGCTCAGCTAGGCCAGGAACTCCCCAGGGCAGCTGAGACTCTGGTTTTCCTCCAAGTCTTCCAAGGAAAGAGGTGCTCATCCCCACAGGTGTTCGAACTACTGGCACAAGCAGCACGCGGACAAACCACCCTGAAAACACTCTGAGTGGTCTTGTCTTTATTCTCCCACAGACCAAGCGAAGGGGACATGGAAAAGTATCGCCCAGGGACTCCCCGCTTCCCCCTTTACCAAGGATGAGGCTTTTGCCACGTGTTGCTGGATAGTGGCTGTTTGCACACTGACAGGCTGTGTCAGCTCCTCACTGCAGGGGATCTCGCAGAAGACTGGCCTCAGGGTTCGTGTGGTCCACGTCGCGCCAGTACGGGAGCAGGGAAGGAAGAGCAGACAGTTTTTTTTCCAGGCGTGACCACAGTTGTGCTGCTAGAAAGCTGTTGCCTTTTGCTGATAAATGAAGACCATCAGACAAGTAGGAAGAGAAATCCTACAGGGGAGGTTAAAACCAGGTATTAATGTACTTGCTAGTTGCAAAGAGAAGGTCCTTAGTAATTTTTAAGTTCTGCAAAGCCAGCTGGTATATATACTGGTTTTATTTTTTCACTGTTTCTATTCAAATATTAAGAGAATGTTCTGATGGCCGGAGTCACTGCTATTCATCAGGAAAAAGATCACGAGGTCAAGTGGTGCAATCAAAACATTAAGTCTACTGCACTACTGAACACTCCACTGCGCCAGAGAGTGCAGGAGAGAGAAAAGATTCAGTGTCACAACTGGAGCTACCTGCTTCTGGGAAAAGCTCGCACTCTCTGTCACATGGATGAGTTTGAGTAGTTGGTCAGAAGCACCAGAAGGTACCTGTGCAACCTGATGTAACTTCAAAGTGAGCCCAGCGTTCTGCAGTGGGTTGGACTAGGTGCCTCCAGAGGCCCCTTCCAACCTAAACTATTCCATGAGTCAAAGTCCAAGGAAAAAGTGATTTACATGTAATGTACGCACAGGGCATCTGTTCACTGAATGTACCGGTCAGGTTGTATTAAGCTTTATTTCTCCCAGCCCACTATGAAGTACTCCTCTGGATTATTTTTTTCCTTCCCCAAAGTGTAATTTGGATGTATTTTGTATCATCTCAGCACTACAGGTTCCTCTAGGCTAAATGATGCATTTCACAAGTCATGACAGTTTCAAAGTCTTTCTCATGACACCATACCTGATTTTTTTGCATCAGTGTCCAGAGGTCGAGTACATCCGTTCCGCAGTCCCTGGCTACCTGAACACAGGCCTGGGCATATTGCCCAGTGGTGGCGTTGTTGCGATTTAATTTGTCACCTGTCAGACACAAACAGAACATTTAGTAATCACGACTGACCCGGCGTGATTTCTGTCTTCTGTGGCGCACGCGATGCACATCAGTTTGCTGAACCAGTGGACAGAAATTACAAACCAAATCTGAAGCCCCTCAACTGAAGTGGCTGGCAGCTGGAGCACGCAGCAGAAGGCTTATTTCTGTGCTGCCCACAGCTTTCACCTGCTGCCACGCTTCAGGTGAAATCAGTACATGGATTTAAAACTTCACACACCTGCTACTGGCATGTAGAATGGAGTTAAGTCAAAGTCAATCTATTTACGAGCTTGCTGTCCACCTCCTGGATGACACCTGCCATTTCCTACCTCCTTGCAGCGGCCTCGTCGTAACATGCTGGCCATGACTTCAGACTGGGGCACGTTTTGGTGCAAAGCTGTACTAGCGCTCGCGACTGCTACCTTTGTGCAGCAGTTACGCTGGGAGCTGGACGTTCAGTACGTGCTCAGCCCCAGCTGCTGTAAGCCAGCAGTTTTGCACGGACCACAGTGAAACTCTGGAGCAGGATACTATTAAGTTATGTTGTGTAGTTTGTTTTTTTTTCAATGGGACCTATAATGCAATTCATCAACTCCTACTCTACTCCCTCCTTGCATCTGATGATTCCCACTTCTTCACACTGCCACCTCTTTCCTCCCATCATTTCTTTTCTTCAGAAAAATATCCTCTGCAGCCTCTCCGGTCCTTCCCCACCACAGCACATTCCCTGACTTCTTCAACTTTCTTCCCGGTTCAACTCTCCCATAGACTGAGCACCCTTCAGCTCATTCAGCCTCTGCCACGCAGATCTCCCTTTGTTGCCAACTTCCCTGTATTGATCGCAACCTCACTCACCCAGGTGAGGTCCTGCAGTCCTGTCCTTTTCCCCTTCCATGACTTCTAATCTAGCAGAGTTGGTAATTTCTTATTCTCTCTTTGCCTTTTCTTTCATAGTCAGGACTACTTTTCGACTGTTTAGAGAATCTTCTCTTCCATTCTGGGAGCACACAAACACACGCCTGCTCTCCACGTGGAGCTCTGCAGGAGCATGTGCTGGGTCTATAAGCTAAATGCAGCAGCCAAAGGAAGTTCAGGGAACATGGGGGTCCCCTAAGGGACTGAGGAAGCAACCTAGTCATTTACCCCAACCTCTGCACGTACCCACCCAGCTTGGGCAGGAGGACAACCTACAGTGGGAAGCAATGGGTTAGGGGATACTCAGAATCGCCAGATGCATCTGAGTGCGTGGGACTCACCTGAAAAAGCTGCCTGTTGCACTGGTGAGGCCAATGCCTACCACCTACAGAAATTAAAGGATACTGGGAGACCTACGGCAACTGAAAGAAGGTTAATGTTATACCCATTTTTAAGAAAGGCAAGAAAAAGGACCTGAGGAACTGTTTATCACTTAGCCTCACCTCAGTGCTGGGAATGACAGGGGTTATCTCCTCTTGGGATTCATTTCCGAACACATGAAAGAGAAGCAGGAACTATCAACAGAAATCTAGCAAAGCCAAATAGAGCTTGACCAAGCCAATCGCATTCTGCAATGACGTGATAGCTACGCAGGTGACGGAGGGCAGCTCTGACTTTGGTAAGAGCTTCGACTCTGTCTCCCCCAGCACTCTCATCTGGAAGCCGAGTTTCTTTTCGCACCCCTTTTCACACCTGGATGAACGTTCCTGTGAATGTCACCATCCTCGTGTTTCACATCTCCGCTCCGATATTTATCTGACAAAACTAGAAATAAACAGAACATTTCTCCTGGACTCTGGCTGAGGGCAGACGATCTGATATTGCTGCCTACTGTGCCCACAAAACCTTATTTGTGGTCCACGGCCTGAGATCACCCTGTCTTTTGTTCCATCCCTAGACAGCAATCTCTTGTAGACAGATGCTGGCAGATTCCACGCTGTAAATGCAAGTTTCCTCTCTCCCCACCCCATGAAAAGGATAGCTTTAAGACAAAAATGAACTAACAACATTTAAAAAGCATCACTCGATAGCCAGGAGCCAGATAAGCTGCATCCATGGTGTGTACTCACCTAACAGATCTCCAAAAGGACAATACAGGTGCACGTTTTGCACGTATTTGCACGGCGGTAGCAGCTGTAGTGGGAGCCAGGCAGGAAAGGCTGCTCTGCACCAGACCCACCCCTCACACCCTGCCCAAGGATCTTCTGTCACGCACACCGTGCCGGCTGTCTCTGACGTTTGATCTGCCCTGCTACAACTGCTACTGTCTTACACAACCTGTGAGTATTACTCTAGGACGTGCTCTACTTTTTCCAAATTAAACATAAAAACTACCTTGCTGGATGAGACTGGAAGCCCACACAATCCAAAATCTGTTTTGCCCAGTGATCACGGCCACGCACCAACACCCCCTCATGCAATAACACAGTCTAATTTAACACAGTTTAAACATGGTCATCTGCAAAATGTTACTGCTTTGACTGAGTACGCACATGCAATACCACCTAAATTAAGAGAAAACCCTCCAAATACTAAGGTGACAGCTCTGAATTTGTAAAGTCTTTTATAAATGCACAAGAACTGGACAAGCTGTCCCAATGGAAAAGAGGACACGGTCTCAGGAGGTATAAACTGTCGCTGCTGGAGTCAGTGGGATTATGGCAATTTCCACCAGCTGAGTCACACAAAGTAAGCAGTGCTGTTATGTCTCTGTTTTTAGAGTTAGCTCAAACAACCTAATGAGAAATCATTTAATCACCTTTTGCTTCTTTTTCAGGTACTTGTATTAGCATCCTTAGAGTGTTATATTCTCTGAGGTGTTTTTTTTTTTATTTTAAAATAAACCTGGCTAGGTTATTACTGCTTATCCAAATAGATGTGAAATACGCTGTGACTATTATAAAATTCTCTAAGGCACACAATGCCAAAATTTCTTCCACTATTCACGTTATGTTGGAAGCTGCTGGGACATGACACAGTCTGCAGAGGCCACCTTGGCAAAACCTGTGTTCTCAAGGGGCAGCACAAACAGATCAATCAACACTTTTGAAAGGCTGTTACTAATTAGTTGGTAGTTACTCCACAAGCTTATCCAAAAGCTGTTTAGCAAAACAGCCTGGGATCAGCAACTGACACTCTGCTGGTAAAATGCAGAAATTCAGCCCATCGTATCATTCTTTTACCTTTGGCAAGACACTCCTTTTCCCAAGCTGATTCCTGAAGAGGCGGTGGCGTTATCAAAATAATCCTGTCTTCAGTAATGTCTACGGACTTCAGGTACTGTATCATGCTCTTTAGGTTCGCAGCATATTCCTCCAAAGGAACGTGTTGCTTAGGGTTCAGATCTGTTAGGGGATGGAGCACATGCATTGGCGGCGTTGAACCACTTACTGATTTATTACACCATGTAACGTGCTTTTTACATGGCATATGAACGTAGACACTCATTTTCAGTATGCAGTTCACCTCAGCCATTGATTCAGGAGGTGTGGTGGGAAAATACCGTTCCTCAATATCCAAAGCAGGCAAATTAAGAGTTTAAACACAGCACTTCCAACTAAAATAAAAAAGGCACACGGGGTGAAAAAAGAAAACAAAACACCACCTTTTTTTTTTTTTTAAGATGCTTTTCCTTACAAGTCTGCAGCTTAGTACTAGATCACACAATCACCTCAAACCTCACCTGAAACAAAAACTAAGATTTTTAACTCTCTTGGATGCAGAAAAAATTTTGGAAATTCCCAGGGACGTACAGTCAGTCCTTTGTGCACTGAAGTTCAATTTTGATTAGACTAGCTCTGTGCACTGCTATGCTTATTTTAAAGAGAATCTAAATCCCTTATTTCCTCAACCCATATGCCAAGAACTCGTCAGACTGCTTTAGAGGCAGAAAAATCAGCTGGATGCCCAACTTCCAATTCTAGGTGACAGATATATGACTAATTCTTGAGCACCCTGAAATGTGCTTTTAATATTGAAACTTGATGAGAGGGAGAGAAATAGAAGGCACTGCATGGTTTAAATACAAACAAAATGACTGAAAACAACTCACTGTAAAAAATGAAAGAAAGGGCAACCACTTCATAGAGAAGCAGTAGGAAGAGTCTCTGTAATGTTCCACCTTTTCTGCTGAACTGTAAAGTTTTCTTAAGAGAACAGGTCATGGGAAAATAAAAAAAAAAAAGCAAGCTACCATACCTTTCAAAGCACTGTCATTGGCTCCAAAGAAAATCGTAACTGCAACAGTACTCTCAGTACCAGTACTTTTACCGACCAGCCTTGGAAGGATCAGTTTAGCCCATCTGGTGTTGTAGCCCGAGAGCCCCCGGTTCACAACGTCACATTTTCTGAAACAGAAACACGTATCAAAAAGAACACCTCTCCTCTGCCCACCAGAACAAAACTTGGGAAGTTTTGAACCATTCTATCAAGATACCTGCCTCCATCCCTCTCAGAAACAACGGGATGTCACAAGCTTTTTCAGTGGGATTGTAACTTTATCTCTTGGAAGCTCACACACAGATTGCATGTGTAGTATTTACTTGGTCACTTAAACTATGAAACCAGAACAACAATCTTGACAATCACTAAGGAATTTTTTATTTCCACTCAAGCTCTGAGTGGAAAGTAAGACCCAAGGAGTATTTTTGCCAGTATTGGGCTGGTTACCACTACGGCCATTCCACTTCAATAAATAAATGTTAATAAATACATTAAATATTAACTTGTGTTGCTTTTCTTTTAGAAAAGCTGCACAACTGCTTGCAAGCTAAGAATTACTTCGGAAATTTAAGCTCTTACCTGACCAGTCTCTCAGCAAGGAATGCCCCCCAGCCATTTTCCTGGAAGGAGAACTGAAAGCAAGGAATATGGTTAGACCCTCACTGGAACAACTCAGGTCTTCCAGTGAGGGTCTGACCCAGCAGGTCAGTCCCACCACCAGCACCTTCCCAGTGCCTCCTCCCTGCCAGCCTGCCCTGCCCCTACAGAGGTCAGACAGCCCTGGTCCTACCTAGAGAGGCACCAGAGGCAAGGTGGGACCATACCTACAGAGGGACGGACCCTGTGGTCTCTTTGTAATTAAAACTGACTGCTGTCAAGCTCTGGTTTCATTTTGGCTGATGAGGCTTTTTTCTTTTTTCCATTTTCTACTTTATCTCTTCACTGTGCCTTTGTTCTGGGGAGCACATCCCAAAAAAACCCTCGCCACATGCTGCTTCGCAGTGCGGTTCAATATCTACCTCTCCCAGTTGTAGAAAAATTAATCCTTTCTCCTTATTCCCACTGCTGCACCATCCTCTGTGACAATGCTCCGCCTGTTTACTGAGCTGCACAGTGAGTCGGTTTAGACAACCCATCTCCCATTACAGACCACCTTTGTCTTTGGCCAAATCCTTTTTCCATCAGAGCAGCCCTGTGACCAACTCCACCATGCAACCCATTCAGCAGAAGGCAGAGACCCAAAAGGAACACTAAAAAAGCCAGTATTGCCTCCAAAGAAATGTTCACCAAGCCATGGTCCGGCCACGTTGACGCAGAACATGTGTCCAGGGCAGGTGGACACCAGGAGCTGCATAGAAGGGACGCGCCGGGAACCGGGACAAGGTGCACAGGGGTCTGTAGGGACAACAGGCTGTCCTCCCTCTCTGGAAAACGCCTCTGCCACCAAAATACCAGACGCTACGCTTTTACCATATTCACGCACTTCCAACATAGGAACTGTGTGAATTTCTGCAAAAAAAGGCTCTAAACCTCATAAAAGACCATCAGGCGTGAAAGCCCCTGGAACACCCTGGTGGGAAATCCAACAGGGACATAACTGACGTGCCGCACTCCCGCTTCGCCGGTCTCCCCCCCGCCTCTCGGTGCCGGGCTGACCACGATCCCGCCTCACACGCTCCCCCTGCGCCCACCGAGGTGGGGACCGGCCAGGGGGGAGGCGGGGGGGCGGGGCACGCACAGCCCCACCCC